CCCCCGACACAGCATCCCCCCAGACACAGCACCCCCCCAGACACAGCCCCCAGACACACACAGCCCCCAGACACACACAGCCCCCAGACACACACAGCACCCCCCCGACACAGCCCCCAGACACAGCACCCCCAGACACACACTGCACCCAGACACACACAGCGCACCCAGACACACACTGCACCCAGACACACACAGCGCACCCAGACACACACTGCACCCACAGACACACACTGCACCCAGACACACACAGCACCCCCAGACACACACAGCACCCCCAGACACACATAGCATCCCCAGACACACACAGCACCCCCCCGACACACACAGCACCCCAGACACACACAGCGCACCCAGACACACACTGCACCCACAGACACACACTGCACCCAGACACACACAGCACCCAGACACACACTGCACCCAGACACACACAGCACCCAGACACACACTGCACCCCCCAGACACAGCACCCCCTAGACACACACAGCACCCCCTAGACACAGCCCCCAGACACAGCATCCCCCCAGACACACACACACAGCACCCCCAGACACACAGTCCCCAGACACAACATCCCCAGACACACACAGCACCCCCAGACACAGCCCCCAGACACAGCACCCCCAGACACACACACAGCACCCCCAGACACAGCTCCCCAGACACAGCCCCAGACACAGCCCCCAGACACAGCACCCCCCAGACACACACACAGCCCCCAGACACAGCACATCCTTCAGGACACACACACAGCACCCCCAGACACACACTGCACCCAGACACACACACTGCACCCAGACACACACTGCGCACCCAGACACACACTGCACCCAGACACACACTGCACCCAGACACACACTGCGCACCCAGACACACACTGCGCGCACCCAGACACACACTGCGCACCCAGACACACACTGCGCACCCAGACACACACTGTGCACCCAGACACACACAGCACCCCCCAGACACACACAGCACCCTCACTCACACACAGCACTATCCCACACATATACAGCACACACATATATATATATATATATAAAATAACCCTCAGTGAGTTAACAGACAAAGAAAATTAGAAACCTAGAATGTGACAGCAGATAAAAACACCCTCACACACAGCACCCCTCTTACATACACACACTGCGCTCCTCACACATACAATAAGTCCGAATATATAGATATACATACACACACACACTACAACACCCCTCACACTGCACCACTACACACATTACGCTCCAGATACACACTAGATCCCTTACCCTATATGCACTCTTAATCCTCTACACACACACACACACACTAGGTCATTTACACAGTAGATCTCCTACACACACACACTACATTCCTTGTCAGCAAACACAACATTCTCTAAACACACCCTCTCTGCAACCCCTACACACACTACGTCACCTATACACACACACTTCAGCCCGTATGCACACACTCGCTGCATCCCCTATAACACTATGCCCCCTATACACACACTCACTACAGCCCCTAGCCACACATATAACACCACAAACACAAATTAAATTGACCTATTTATACAATACCACACCACACTCTACACACACGCAATCCCACAAGCAGGCTACAAACATATGCACCATGCACTTTCCTGGCCCTTTTGTCCTCTGGTATCCCACTTGTGGAGACACCAGAGACAATTTAAAAGCAAACACAGCGCAAGCATGTTATTAAATTTGCTTGCGCTGCGCAGAACAAATTCAGGGCCTTTTTCTAATGCCAGAGCTCTTCAGCAGGGCTCTGGGCATTGAACCAACATGCTCACTTTGAGAGGGGGCGTGTTGTCATTAGTGATGACAAAACACACACTCTCTGACCCCGCCCCCTTCTTAGGGGGCCGCTCTGATTGAAAAATGCCCGGGCCTAATTTTTTTCCCAGTCCGGCCCTGATCCCCAATCACATATCAACATCCAAATAGGTACCAACTACTATCACTGGATTCTGAAATTTAAACAGACGAAAAATTTTTAGACATTCAGACCCATACCAACCCATGCACCTTAACATGTAGTTTAAGATACAACTACATGCCCCAGCATACCGAGTGACCGGAAGTGACGTTGCGCTTATGACGCGCGTCACATGATTCAGGAATTAGCAATAATATTCCTTTACATACACCTAGTTTTTATACTATAATTATATATTTTAAATTGTATTAGCTATATCTATGTATCTAAAATGTTTTTTTGCTGTTTTGTGTGAGTAATTACAATCTGCTCTGTGATTGGTCAGAGCAGTTTTGGCGCAATTTTCAAAGTTGTTCTAAGCCTATATATACCCTAACTAGCCAGGTTGACATGTTTTTAATCCATTGATAAAGCCTATATTGGTGAAACGCGTTTGGATCTTGTACTGTTTTTTTAATTACTGTTAATAAATAGATTTTGGTCATTTTATTCTTTTGCACCATTATCTTTTATTTATTTTTATTTTTTAACTACCTGGCTTTTTATCTATTGTCTCCTATACTCCAAAGAATCCCGAGGTGGCGATCATACCACCCGTGCCTATACCATAGAGCAGTTAGCCTGCCCTATACATTGTGAGTATATTTTATTATATTTTATATACCAGCATTATTTTACTGAGAGCACTATTGCTATTTTATTATCTTCTCCCTAAGCTCCTGTTACCATCTTAAACAACTATTTCAAAGAACGCTCATCACATATCCCAGAGGCGGGGATCATACCGTTGCATGCCTACTATACTAGAGCTAGTATAAGCTCTATTAAATGTGAGTGTATCTATTATATTT